GAGGGAGAGAGAGGGAGGGAGAGAGAGAGAGAGAGAGATTGGTGACTTTGGGACTTGACAACATTTGGATCCAGACTCTACATTGGGATTGAGACATTGGACGAGGGATTATTTGGGACCTGTACCAAAGACTTGGTGCTGACGACATTCCCATCTTCCCCGTTGCTTCGTCTAACCCCGCTCTTCTTCGTCTGTGTATGGTTGGGGACTGACGCATTCTTACTGTGTGAGCGCCAGGTCCCTTCACACCATGGAATGATGATGATGTATGTTTGGGCTCCATTGCAACATTGATTGTTCGGATCATTGGTATATTAACCTTCCGCTGCGCTATCTTGTACTAGGTGAGAGAGGTCGGTTCTTGTTCTGGTCTGCACCTTTACGGTATGCGACACCAGGAGTGTCGGCATTGGCACTTGAGTTCTTTGTATTGCTCTTATGTGGATGGAATCTTGGTGCATTGTGCTCTCTGCTTGGTACATGACTATCTAGACTACTTCGTGATTTTGCAAATTGTTTTTTTGTCTATCGCTTTCCCTCATATTCCTTGCAAGATACAGAACATGTTTGTAAATGAGGTGACACATCGGCGATATATGATGGCCCTTCAGGGTCATCCATCCCTAACAACATGCAGAATCTTCCACAGCCCAAACCACTTTGGCAGCAGCTTCTCTGAGATTCCGTCCTCCACGGAGAAAAATCATCACTACTCACCGATACAAGCGCCGATGTCCGGGTATGTTTATTAGCTGCTGCAGTCATGAACTCTTCAGCTTTCTGCCATATCTTTGATTGCCCACCAGAGTTCATGGACAGGTTGTATCGTGGACTCTGACGCATCTCGACGGTAGTCTTTTACGCCCATCTCCACAAGCACAGAAGATTCAGGAGGTGGTGCAGCGAACAAGGAGGAACATCCCTAAGAGGTTGGAATTCAAAGACGGAAGCGCCGAGAGTAACTGGAAAAAAAAGGACTCGACTTCGGTCAAGGGTAACTAAACAAAAACCCTGAAAAAAACGGAAGCGAGAGTAATAGACTAATAGTTTCATTCACCTTTTACCAGGAGTGAAATACCTGTCTGAAATGTCACTCTGACATTTTGTTGGTCTAAAGGGCTTGTCTCCATGATTCTCTGAGTCTTATACCAGTTTGACAAAACGCTTCAAAATGTAGGTGCCTGGGTGGACAGGCAAAACTGACAGGTGCTGCCAAAATCTGACGGTGAACAAACCTTGTAGCCTGGCTCCGCTTTATACTTTTTGAAACAATCATGGAGAACGGAAGTTTTCTGCTGACGACAATGTTTATTCTCTGCAGGGCCAGTGGGTGTCCATGGGAGTTTCCTCAGATGGATCATATGGTGTTCCTGTTGGTCTTATGTTCTCCTTCCCCGTCAAGACTAGGAAAGGGGAATGGGAAATTGTGAAAGGTGTGTACATCCTCCACTCTCTCTCTCTCTCTCTCTCTCTCTCTCTCTCTCTCTCTCTCTCTCTCTCTCTCTCTCTCTCTCTCTCTCT